AACAACTTGAACCCAGGAGGCGGAGGTTGCAGTGAGCTGGGATTGCACTACTGGACTCCAGCCTGGGCAACAGAGCAAGAGTCCATCTAAAAAATAAAAATGTTTTCTCATTTGGTCATATTTAAAAAGATTTCACATTTTTTCTTTCTAGAGCCTGCAGAGAAAGCCAGAGAGTTCATGAAATACTGGAAAATATTCATTAGTATACTTTCTGAATTCATAAAACATAGTAAAGAGCTTATGTATTCTTTGAAATGGTTGTTGATATGAAGGACGTGAAACAGTTACACTCATCTCCACAATTCTGTAGTTTGGGGAAATGGCAGCTGAAAAAGCAGGTATATATTAATTCAACCAACCCTTCGGGGATGCTTTTTCTTTTTACTAATGTGTAGATGTGGAGATAAATAAGGTATGGTGTATGCCGTTCAGAAGTTCACAGCAAAGTAAAGAATGCAGGCTTTTAAACAGTGTAAGGTACAGGGAGACATGCTGTGTGGCTGACCTAGAAGACTATTTGCAAGAGAAAGTGGCAAACTCAAGTGATAGAATTACACCTAGACTTGAGGTGAGATGGTCTCCCACTTATCAAAGCACCAGGAAGACTAGTAGCTCACACTTCTATTGTACTTACTTTGCTTCACGTCTATTCAAGTTGCATACATATATTAACTCATTTAATCTTCCCTCTGACCCTATATAAGAATTGGCCATTCAAATAAGCCCCATTTGTAGGGGAGAACTCTGAGACGGTAAGAAGTTAAGCCACTTGCTCATGGTCACATAAGCAGCAGTAGAGCCAGGATCTAGAAACCAGACAGCTCAGTTCCAAAGCATTTCTGCAATGCCCAGGAAAGGCACCAACCAGGGCAAGGCTTATTCCATCTGTTTCTTTCTGAGGTTTCTCCATGTTAAGGTTTCTCCATATTTTTATTTATTGCACTAATAGTATTATAATAACTACAACAAAGAAAACCTCAACTACAATCTCATTGCTCAACAAATCTCTGATTCTTTCCTTTCTGTTTGGTTAGTCCTCTCCAGAGCCAATTCTTCCTTTCTTCCTCCTGTGTTGTCTAAAGACAGCCCCTCAGAACCACTTTCCTTTTTTTTTTCCTGGCCTGTGCTGTCTCTTGAGATCCTTTACTTATGTCTCAGTACCTCCTTGAGCCTCTAGGTTTGTAGTTACTGGGAAGTTAGATGCAATAGTCCGTTTCAGGAGTCAGTGGGACTCCTCGCCCTGGAAGAACTACCATAACAGCAACCTCCTTGGGGAACTTCATCATTAGTGAGCAGAGAGCATGGTGTAGTAATCATCCATTGATGCATAACAAATTACCCTCAAAACTTAGTGACCGAAAACAACACACATTATCTCCAGGTTCCAGAGTGGCTTAGCTGGCTGTTTCTGGCTCAAGGTCTTTCAAGAGGTTGCAGTTAAGATGTTGATCGGGGCTTCATTGTCTGAAGGCTTAGCTAAGGCTGAAGGATCTGCTTTCAAGTTTACACATGTGGATGTTAGCAGATCTTCTTTTTTAGTCACATGGGTCTCTCCATACGGCTGCTCACAATATGGCAGCTAGCTTTCCCCAGAGTCAGTGACAGGAGAGAGAGAGAGAGAGAGAGAGAGAGAGAGAGAGAGAGAGAGAGAG